TAAAAAATTTTTTTGATGATCATAAAAATGTGCGCATTTATTATGTAACACAAACCCCGGCATAAAATTTCCAACACAGCATATTATTATGTAGGTTCTTGAACAATTTCTAAAAACATCATGTCAAAAATTTTTGATTGCCAAAATTTAATCGAATTTCATTTTATTCGAGTTCTACAGAACTTGTATGCATGTGATTTTGCATAGATATTCACAAGAACCTAAACCGCAAATGATATAATGTTTATTATGTATATTTTTGCGCAATTAACAAAAGCAAGTGTTCCGAAACTTTTTGACCAGATAAAAAAATTTAGACATACAGTATCAACATCCCATCCATTTACAGTGCACATAAAATATTTTTTATTGGATATTTTTAACAGACCAAAAAATTTAAACTTTTTTTGTTTGAAAGATAAGAATGTCTAATCTTTATAACAATATTTTCAGACCTATTACATTTAAAATCATAAAGTTATATGACTTTGTAACAAAAATTTTCAATTGATTTTATTGACAATCTTTGCAAATTATTATTTTCAGTAATCAATGAATTATAAAAAACAAACAATTTTTTATTTGAAAGAAGAGAAATAGGCCTTTTATTTAAAAAAGAATTCAGATTAATTTAATTCAAGGTAGGTCCTGTGACAAAACTTTTTGAACCCCCATGTAACTGATCTAACTATAAAAATGAACCAAATTCAAGTAAGTATATTAATATTAAATATACCTGATAACTTTAATCTAATTCAAATTTATAAATGCAATCTGTGCTAAGGTTTCTGGTCCAAACTGTTTTCTCAAAGCCCAAACTAGTTTGGGCAATTTGGGCTTCTCAACATTTTCTATAAGCATGAACATTAAAAAACTATATGAATCAACTTGTTTTAACTTAAACAACTTTAAAATAATTTCGCCCAATTTCGGCTAATAACAAAAAGTAGTTTGGGCTTATAAAAAAATAATTTTTGCCCAAAGTATTTGGGCAATTTCGGCTACATGATTATTAATATAAAAACATTGATGGTTTACGAGGACACAAAGCTCAAAACATAAAGAATATAATAGTCCGCCTGTAAGTATATCACCTAAATTTTTGGTTAGACAATTTAAACAAGAAATTATATCTGGTTTTTGGAGTTGTTAGCGCAAGAAAGAAATTAGTTGGTATTGGTACTACGCTTCGTTATCCTTTTTTATTTAGAGATTTTTAGAAGCGATAATCATTTGCTGATTTGAATTCTTTTTTTAGAAAAAAAACCTCTTTTTGGAAAATCTGAAGTTCTACAATTTTCAACACATTTTTTAATAGTGATAGCAATTCTTCTTTCTCTCTGCAGAGCTCAGCAAGATAGTGAGTGCTATGAGCAGCTAGTGAAAAATCACTGTTTTTCAAACTTAATTTTTTGGGAAGGAATTTTTTGTTTTTGTTGGGTAATAAATTTCAAAAAATAATTTTTTTATTTTCCTGATACACTTGATGATCTATGTTGCCTTGTCCATGTGATAAACATTTTTTACCATTTATCATGCAAAATAATAATATCTTTTTTTCCAAGTGAACAGAAAGAGATTTGGTTTTAGTTAGTGTGATAAAGATCACTATTAACTATTATGTTTTTAATTGACAAGTTCAATGTGGAGCTTTTTTCTTTTTTATTATTATTATTATTGTGCATGCTGTGCTGCGCAAGAACCAAAATCTATTAAAGTTAAGTTTGATTTGGATTGCACCTTCTTTATCATAAAGAGTAAAAAAATCATATCACTTAGGTCAAAACAATAGTCAATTTCATTAAATTCGAAACATATAAATGGTATGGCCGTTCTCATATTTTTTCATAACACCAACATAGAATTTAATGTTATTTTTATTTTTTATTTTATTTAATTAATGATTAGATTTGTTACGCAAATAATTATTTATTCATGAATTTTAATTTTAATAAAAAAAGTCCAATTCATTTGAGAATTAAAATGTGTTTTTATTGCTTCGTTAAAAAATTTGAATTAACAACCTGAACCAATCAATTGCTTACTAAATTAAAGTTTAAATTTATTACACCAAAAAAATAAACACAATTTCATGTGAGCAATATCTAACTTGGATATGACTTATTACTATTACACTCAAAATAATCATACAGTATAACCTTGTCATAACGAAGGTATGGTACCAACAACTTAAATTCGTTGTGACAAAACTTCGTTGTGACGATCGGGATCTACGATTTTTTATTGTACGACAAAAACTTTTTTATTACAAAAATAAACATAAATATAATAATATACCAACATAAATATGA